GCTCAGGCGTCTTATTCGTTTTCGGAACGCTGTCCACATCAGCGTTATGGTTAGCAGAACGAAATTGCGTCTTCTCCGTAGCCACTGACGATTGCAGTCTGTCAGTTAGCAATTAACTTTGCTCCGGAGATCTCAAAAATAAGGCTGTCTCAGAGGTTTTCTGTGCATCAAGGAGCATCAGGAAATAGAGCTCATAGTAGAGAGACACAATCAGATCTATTTGAAGGTTAATGTCGCTTCGTTTCCGTTTGTTAGCACAGCGTCAAAAGCGGGAACTATGAATTCTTCGGAGAAGTGAATTCACAAGAGGGAAGTTGCAAACGAACAGGCACAAGTCGGATGCAACAACCAGCAATCGAGGCATAGGTGGCGGAAATTCTGGTTTAGGCTTGTCTGTGAGCTTACTAGCAGGCTATCGGAGGCGCAGGTTTCACAGCTGAGTTCGTCGTAGTATATGGATGTGGAAGGACGAAAGTTGGCAAGGCCTGTGGACCACAACATGTTATTGTTTGCAGACTGTTAACATTACCAGGACTTCAAGGGGAGAGGGGGAGGAGCGATGGGGAGGGGAGATCTACCTGAGGGTACGTCAATGCAGACCAGAGGGAGCTTGAGAGTGGAGATCTGCTGGGCAACCTCTGCAAATTCACCTCTTAGAGGCGGACGGAAACCGAAGCCAAAGAGAGCATCGACAATCAGCGAGTATGAAGACTCCAGTATTTTAACCTAGGATCAGAATGGAGAATAAAAACCTTAAAGAAAATCTGCAGCATAAAACAGTAAAGGAGGCCCTGTAAAGGGGCAGCAGAAACCGAAGTATTAAAATAACACCGAAAAGGTCGGCCTTCAAAATACAATAAAGTTTGTCAATGTAAAAAAACATTCATAAGTATTAACTGGAAAATCGGCATCCCAAGAAGTATATTTTGGTAGGAGTTCTATGGGAAACAGTGGTTTATTGTGTAAATTTTCGACACACCAGGTCGTCGTCAGACGGATGGAAATTGTACGAAATAGTTCCTGCTCTCCCTGTTTCGTACAATTTCCATCGGTCTGACGACAACCTGGTGTGCCAGTGTCGAAAATTTACACAATAAACCACTGTTTCCAAAGAACTTCTATTGAATTCCTAAGTATGTTTTCGATTCGAATAAATTACTTAAATAGGGCTGTAATAGTGATTATCGTACACTATGACCGCAACATATTTCAGTCACGTCAGGACGCCGGCGTTTGAATGAGCTTCTTTCCGATGACACTAAAGAATTACCCCGTAAAAAATAGCTACTTAAGTAGCATATATTTTTGTCATTGATTTTTAATATTCTCGCAAATTCCGATAAAGTCTAGAGTAAACACGCATAAAAATATCCTCGCTTGTACTCTGTTTAAAGCAGCTGGCGTCATTTTCAAAATGTGTGCTTAAACAAAGGTTATCTTTTGGTTTTAGAAATCATTTTAAATTTCCTAATAATTTTGAACCCTACACTTGCACTTAAGGTTTTAAAACTACATGCTGTAAACATTCTGTCTAAGAAAAACCGCATATTTCTGTAAGCTATAAAAATGGGGTCGCATAGTTCTCATAAAATTTGGCAACGCTGATGGACCATATTGTACACTTTATAAGCACCATTAAAAAACTGACGGATATAATGCATTATGAATAAACATTTGCTGACTCTCCTGACCTTTTCTTCGGCTAAAAAAATTGAAAAAGGCGTATTTCGCTACCAAATGAGTGTACAGGATAAGATTTTGTGCATGTTTTCTATAAAATATACATTAAGTTCCCAAGAGCATTGGAAATGAACGAACAAAATGCAAAGTACTAAAGTGACCATCTTTTGTAGAGTATAGATGTTTGCAGGCGACTGGAAAGACGTGACTGAAATGCAGTGAGACTAACCTGCATAATAATCAATATTACAAAGCTTCAAAAGTAATTTGTTCGAAAATTAAAGGCATTACAGAATTTCAGGTAACGTTTCTTGAAACAGGGAATCTACAGTACAAACAAAAACTGGACTTTAAGAAAGATAAGAGAAGGTACTCAAGATAGAAGTACGATACCAAGCAAGGCACCCCATTATGGTGCCGTTCACCGGTTTATCCTGACTTCATAGATGGAAAATGGAAATCCTGGCGAACCTTGGAGTTTCGGTGGCAGCATAACAACTACTCATCAATGTTTGGGAAGTGTGCCCGAGGGAGACTACGGCAACTTAACGGTCATGATTGACTTTTTAGACAGGCTGTTAGTGATAACCCAAAAATGACGCTTTCATATTAACTTCAAATTTGCTATCTAGGCATTTGCCCAAGAGCTCGAGGTGTAATCATTGCATATTCTTTGACTACAATGCAGGGTGCGTAGGTAGCCAACTGATTACGAATAGTTAACCATAAATGGCCGGCCCAGTTGATGCTAGATTTTATCTGTGACCTGTCACAATGAAAATCTGTCCACGAAACCTACTTATGAAAGCAATGCACACATTTTTTACAGAACAAATAACGCGCCAGAGACAAGATTCTAAATTTGTCTTTGTTCTAAAGTGTTAATTGCAACAACACTAGGCCTCGTAAGAAAGATTTCTTCGTGTCCATTTTTACTTACTTGAATCGTCGACAGAAAATGCTGTGGATTGGATACGGCCCACGCACTTGTTAATCTAACTTATTTCTTGTATTCCAAGGTATTTCGCAAGAGCTAATTAGATTGCCGGCTTCTTCAGGTAAAAAAAAGAAACGCCTGCAAGCATAATCTGTATGATTTGCGAGCAACAGGTGCGTAGCGACGACCAATTATTGGTGTATATATATGTATATTGCACAAGGTTGGGCGCAAGTTATGCAAAACCCAAAAGTCAAAATAATGTTCGACATGCGTTCGAGATGAAGCGTCGAGGAAGAATCCCATTACTGGCACCAGCCCTGGACGATGGAAGGTCGGTTAAGTTTTAAATGCTTAGTTGTATCACTTACACCGTCAGTAGAGACGCAGTTTTGCCGTCACACGTGAGCACCTCAACGTAGGCGGGCTGTGTTACGCTATATCCTCCTTAAGCGCTCCCACTGGGACAGCTGCTGTCCCGAGGGTGAACTGGTGGGTGACCTCGGCGTGAATGATAGCCACAGAGGTTTAACGAGCAGGCGTTAAGGTCGCGTAATGCCCCTCTGCACAACGCGAATGGAACTAATTGACCAACTGCATTCCAGATCAAATAACTTTGGCTGTCAATTAAATCCACCATGCGAACAGGCGTTTTGGCGTAGCTCCTACTGCATTCCGTTTGTTGTCACTAGAAGCAGTGTGTCGATTGCCGCTCTCTCTCTCTCTGACCTAGTTGGGCTTAGACGATTAACTATCGTGCAGTGCGTAATCCCAGTATATTACCATAAGTTCAGACTACTAGCTTTTGAACACGCTCCTTTTCGACGGCCTATCAAATAGTACAGTGTTTGCCAGTGCTTTTCGATGCCCTATCAAATTTTAATGTATTCTACAGAAAAAAATACGCAAAATATTAGTTCTTGTACTCATCTAGCAGAAAATTATGTCTTCGTCAAAGCAAAATCTCTATACACTATGTCGACGACGTCACACGGTACTCAGAAATGTTGGTAATGGATGTGGAGCATGTTAGATAAGGCAGCATTAATAAATGGACGGAAACGATGTAACACAGATGAAAATTTTCCGTCTTAAAAAGTCTCATGAGAAAAAGTTTTTTAAAACTCCAAAATACATTTTCCAACCATTTGAAGAAGACGTAATTCTGAACAAAATGAGTACAAGCTGGGATATTTTTCCGTGTGTCTTCGCTTAAATATATTTGCAATTATTGGGAAATATCCATGCTACTTAAGTAGCCGTTTTTACAGGTTTTACAGGACGCCGCAAAGAAGGGCGTTCAAATGTCATCATCCTAACCTGATTGAAATATATGTTAATTATGTAGTCTATTAATTAACATTAACACATAATAATAATATTTAGAATTACAAATATTAGGCGGTAGGGCAAGCAGTAGCGAAAACTTAAAAACTCACATTCGAAGGAATGTAGGAGAGGAATGGAATACCCATCTTCTCACACTGAGTAACAAGGTTTTTGTAGAGCGGCTTTTGAGGTGTGCGAGGATAATAGACGGTAGGTTTGTAGCCCTGAAAAGGTTAGAACCAAGAGGACTTGAGTCATTCGCTGTGGCGGTAGTGGTCAGACTTTTGTTTTGGATTTAAAATAAAATCTTCCGTTGTAAGGTGATGTTGTGGCACCGGTTGGGTTCTCGGGTAAGACCCGCTTAAACGACTAAATTATATACTTGAAATTTATCTTCGCGAGGCCTATTGCAGAGCGTTAGATAGCACGGGGAATTTACTGCCTTCACAGGCCAAAAGAATAAACTTGTGAATTAACTGATGTAAGATGAGCCAGCGACTGACTATATATTTTGGCAGTTTAATGTTAAAAAGGGCGATTTATGACAGAGAAAAACGCACTCTATTTTAAAGCACGTCTGTGGACGACACCCAAATTATAGAGATAACGACGGTTTTAAAATTATTCATATATTATCTTGTTCCATATTTAGAAGTTAGAGGTGGCAAGCACATGAATGGGTCAATTTTCAGCCAGGATGATGTAGCGGCCTTAAATGTGTAGTTTTTTTCATTTTTAGGGCGGCGACTACACCTGTCCGTGGGTGGGGACGAGGTCATGACATCAGGCGGCGAGCGGGCAGAACGTGCTATGCAGGAGGCGGTGGGGGAGGGGGAGAACCCGAGAGGTCGAATTTATTGACCTCACAGGCCAAAATAAAATAAAAACTTGTGAATTAATCATTGTAAGACGAGCCGGAGAGGGGCTATGATTCGGCAGTGTAATATTAAAAAGCGCGATTTAGGACAGAGAAAAAAATCCACCCCAGATTAAAGCAACACTACTGCGGGCGATCCCTAAATTACAGACACAAGGACGGTCTTAAAATTGTCCATATGTTACCTAGTTCTATATTTAGGAGTCAGAGATGATAAAGGCATAAAGGGGGTCAATTTTCAGCCAAGATTATGTGGCGGCCTTAAATATGCAGTTTTTTTATAATTATTAGAGGACGGCGACTACACCTGTCCGTGGACGGGGTCATGACGTTAATCGGCGAGCGGGCAGAGCGTGCTACGCAGGGGTGGGAGGGGAAGATGCCGGCTTAAAGAAATGTAGAGAGCCAACTAATAATTAATATACACGGTTGGCAGTGCCGCTTGGCTGACAAAGATGACGTAGGGCTCCGATGACTTACTGCCAATGGCAAAAAAATAAGTAAATGATTAGTCTATATACAGCAACTTACCTATTTCAAGGAATGTTTTTTTCGATTCGAACACAGTTGTTAAGATGGACTGTAATAAAGATTCTTTCACAACCTAATCCAAAGATATTTCATTCACATAAGGATACCGGCTTTTGAACGAGCTTCCTTCTGACCGCCTCCTTAAGGCATACTGTATAAAAAATGGGCTACTTGATTGCCATGCATTTTTTCTCTTTGATTTTCGACGCTATTACAAATTCAGATAGGAACAAGGCAAGGACGATCAAATATGCAGACGTTATTGACGTCATTTAAGTCTGCGACCCCTTTCTTCTACTGCGTACGTTCATTGCTTATTAATGAGACACAAGAGTTCTGGTTCTCTTACCTATGCTGTAGCGTCGTCTGTAAAGCGCAGGAGACGCCCATTCATCACCCGAAGTACGACCCTAAGTGCAGTCATTTGGCCCGCCGTATAGCCAGTGTCAAGCGGGTGCTTTGAAATTGAACTCTTGGTTACTTTATTTTCTGCCTTTGGTTGCCAACTGCCTACGGGTGCGTTCAATATAATTGTATTCGCAACACGTAAACTAATAAATAAAGCTTGATGCGGTGGGCATATGCAGAGTGTCCTCCAATGTTCTATCTGGAATAGCCGTTGTAAGGCTTATGAGCAACAAATAAGAGGCGGTAGGCGTTCATTCCAGCGTGATCGAAGCCTTCGCTCCATCAAATTTAATATATTATTCTTGTTGAAAGGAAGGAAGATGCTCACGGACATTCTTGCGAGACGGATATTTCGGCAGGCCTTTATTGTCTGGCGCGGCGCTACTTAAAACTTCTTCAGGCAACCAGTTTCAGAGACCAACGTTCTTCAGAAACCGGTCTTGCGATCGATCGCATCTGAGGAACAGATTTCAGTGGCTTTGTTAAATAGGCACAACACCAAGTTCCGTTTTTCTTAATTGTAACGAAACTGAGAAATTGCATTAACTGGCCTTTCAAGGTGGTTTTTTGATAGATGAACCTCTGAACGAAACCGTATGCCTGCCTGCGTACAAGGACGACTAGGAAAACCAGTGTGTCAGTTTTTTCATCCACAATCGTAAATACGATCTTTGTATGCGCTCCGGCCATAGCCTTAAGCAGTAATTCTCCGTCCCTTGGGTTTTCAACTATGGCAAAATTTCCATTTACGTGACGTCTACATAATTCGGTTTTCTATAAGTATTAAGCTCTTTATTTTGAATTTGACATGAAGATTACGGTTCGGACTGGCCTCAGTGGACTGCCCATAGCTACACCGTCTATGCACATGGTCATTGAACAGGAACTCTAAATTATTTGCGTATATCTGCAGTAGTTCCCGCAGATGCCCTGGATCCAGACATGTTTCCGTCGCATGTTCACAAAGGGCGTCACTGATTTTATTCAGTGGCACGTTGGCGAACAGACTGCAAGTTAACTGAGATAATGCGCTTATATCGCAATTTTTTATTCGTCAGCTCATCTACGAAAGGTAATGTTTGGTAGCGTGAGCAGCAAGGTTGCGCCTGATTAGTACGATAAGATGGACTAACGCGCCATATCAAACAGCATTTAGGAGTTTACATGTACAGTACGGCCTAGAATTCGTGTTACATGCCGAAATATGCGAAAGATTAATACCCTTTCGCTAATCAGCATTGAGTAAGGTCGCAATACAGATTGGTATAGTCTATTCTGAAGTTATTTTAGTCATGATAGGATGCCGGTTTTTTAACGAGCCTCTTGTTGGCCGCTAAAAAAACGTTGGTACTGCAAAAGTAGCTACTTAATTAGCATGCATTTTTATCATTGATTTTGACTGCCTTTATGAATTCGAATATATTTTATGGAAAACATACACGAAAAAAATTTTTGTACACGGTTGGTACCAAATTAGGTCTTCCTGAATTGTCATACATAAAGAAAGGGTATCTTTCGGTTTTAAAAATGTTTCTAATTAAGAGCTTTTTTACGATTGTGAGGTGTTCATTCACTATACATCACATCCGTCAACGTATTAATGCTGCCTATAATGTGTATGGAAGGTTCCACATCTCTTGCAATACTTTAAGAGAATTGTGATTTTTTCCTCAAACCGTAGGCGAAAACATCCTTTTCTTTAAACAGGGTGTACACAGCGCGCAGTTTGTAAACCTTGAATACTAGTGTAGCAATCAGTAGGTTAAAAATTTATTCAGCAATGTAGAAACTTTTTAAAACTAAAAGATGCACTTTCTTTAAGTATAACCCTCTAAGAAGGCGTAATTTGCTACCAAACGAGTACAAGAAATAATGTTTTCGTGTATGTTTTCCATAAATGTATTTGAATTTATAAAGGCAGTCAAAATCAATGACAAAAATGCATACTACTTGAGTAGCCACTTTTTGCAGAACATATGTTTTGTTAGCGGTTAGCAAGAAGCTCGTTAAAAAGCTGGCATCCTATCGTGACTGAAATGACTTCAGAATAGACTACAAGATAATCAGTATTACACTTACTTAATGTCGATTGGCGAAAGAGTATCAATCTTTCGCATATGTCGGCATGTTACAGGAATTCTAGGATGTACTGTAGTTGCGGATGCAAGTACATTGGGTACATGCAAAAGTAGTTGGCAACTCGGTCAGTTGAACATATCCCGAAGTGGCGGCTAAGGGCAGAAAATAAGGTACCCAAGAGTTCGATTACAAAACACTTAATTGATACTAGCCATACGGCGGGTCAAATGATTGCACTGAGGTCCATGCTTCGCGGGATGACTGGGTGTATCCACCGCTTTGCGGAGGATGCTACAATATGGAGAAGTAAATCAGAACTCTGCAGGCAGTTGGATCAAATGATAAACCTCGCAATGTGGTGGTAAGGATGGATATAATGGACGTAACCTTCCATTTCTGTCTCCCGTGATCTCACTCCCCACTCCTCCTCCTACCAGTACCCACGTGACTGACTGCTGTCCCGCGCATTGCAGTTGTTTTTACTACGCTTAACAGACCGCTGAACGGGCTTGCGTAGATAATCCTCCACCCTATCCCCTAATCATGCGCCCCTCCCCCCCCACATCAGACCGACAGTTCATGTTCTATCACGTTTCATCCCCCGATGTCGATGTTTAATTAGACAGCTTAGCTTTTGCTTTGCTCAAATTTAATCCGGAAAATTAGGTCTTTATATTCGGATATATTTTATCAAAATAATCCCCAAAATATAATCTGTTGGGCACCATTGAGAGAAAATTACGTTCTCTTTCAATTTTTTACTTAAGGAGGGGGTATCCTTAAGTTGTAAAAAGATTTTTATTATGAGATTTCGTAATAACGTGAAATGTCAATTAATACTACGTCATATCCACCAATTTCTGAATGTTGCCTATAAGGTATGCCCCATGATTCACCTCTACTGCTAATTTCATAAGAAATATATGATCTCTTTCTCCTGGTGTAGAGATATGTATGAGTTCCGTTAAACAGAACGCATACAGTATGTATTCTGTAAAAGAAGAAGGCAAGATTAACGGCCGGTATGGTTGGAAATTATTTAGCCAATTAGAAAGTTTTGTAAAACCGAAAGATACCTTTCCTTCAAGTATACAATTTAAAAAAGATATAGGTTTCTACCAAATGGATACGACAAGTCATATTATTGTGCATTTTTTCTATAAAATATGTTTGAATCTATAACGGCATCGAAAATATATGACACAGTTTCATACTCAGATATCATGTTGTGCTCGCCGGAATGAATTTATCTGTTCACTGACGTTTCGGACAGCTAGACCGACTGTCCTTTGTCAAAGCGTAAACTAACTTTATTGATCAGCGAACAAATAAACGCGTTCGGATGAGCACAACATGATATCTGTTTTTTATCCCGGGATTCTAACTATTGCAAACTTGAAGATTCTCGTACTACTTAAGCAGCCATTGCTACAGACGGTCAGAAAAAGGCCGACGTCCCGACGTGACTGAAATACCTCGAGAGTAGGCT